AGCTGGGAGGAAGTAGGATGATTGGAAAGGATAAGTTTAGAAACATCTGCCTCCGAGAGTGGAGAGGAGGAAAGAGAATGACAAAAACTTCCTAACCACAAATACTCAGTTTGTGGTGTAGAGAATTGGTCGCTGATGGTTCTTGTTTTATTTATGAAGAATATTGCAAAGTCATCAGCAGTATGAGTTGACGAAGGAGGGGGTGGAGGAGGACAAAGTAGAGAAGAGGTTTTGAAAACTATGCGAGAGTCAGAACAGTTGTTAATTTTGTTGTGGTAGTATGTTGTTTTAGCAGTGGAGACACTTGCAGAGAAGGAGGAGAGGAGTGACTGATATACACTAAGGTCAGTAGAGTTTTTTTTATTTGCGCCACTTCCTCTCTGCAGCCGAGTCTAGAGCGATGTTCCCAGAGAACATCAGACAGCCAGGGGGCAGAGGAGGTGGTGCGTGCTGGTCTGGATGAAAGGGGGCAAAAGTTGTCTAAGCAAGATGATGGAGTGGAGCAAAAAATGTCAGAAACAGTGTTTGTGTCCAGTGCTGAAAACTGAGAAGGGTGGAGGAAGTGAGAATGAAACCATAGAGGATAGGCGAGTGGGAGAGAGCGAGCATAGGTTACGCCGAAAGGTGACCTGCGGAGGAGTGTGTGTTGTGTCCGGAGTCAGTGTGAGGTTAGAAGTGATGAGGAAGTGGTCTGAGGTGTGCAACGGTGTAACTAAAGTGTTGTCAGTTGAGCAGTAGCGCGTGTAGAAAAGGTCCAATTGGTTACCTGATTTGTAAGTAGCTGTAGTTGACAAGCGCTTGAGGTCAAATGAGGCAGTGTTGAAGTCAGCAGCCTGTGGTTTATCTAGGTGGATTATGAAGTCACCAAGTAGTACCAAAGGAATACCGTCCTCAGGGAAGTTTGAGAATAACACATCCAACTCATCTAAGAAGTTACCCAGTTGACCTAGGGGATAATAAATAACTACAAAATGGATTGTAACAGGGTGGGTAATAGTAATTGCGTGTGATTCAAATGAACTGTTGCTGGTAAGAGATGGTAGACCATAAAATTTCCATTCTTTAGAAATAAGTATACCCGTTCCTCCACCCCTCCCAATCGGGCGTGGGGTGTGGGAAAAATTGAAATTAGTGGAGAGGGCTGCAGGAGTGGTAGTGTCCTCAGGTTTGATCCAAGTCTCAGTTAGGGCCATAAGGTTGAGACTTGAATGAGTAGCAATAGATGAAAGAAAATCTGCTTTGTTTACAGCAGACTGGCAGTTCCAGAGACCAATTGGAATAAAGAGTAAAGTAGTAGAGGACATAGGGACAGTACTTAAATTATTAGGATTGCGCTGCCTCCAACGTACAGTGCGTGATTTATGAGTGTTAGTAGTAATAGAAGAGATTTGAAAGCACATATTGAGTACAATTAGAACAAGTTATACAAAAAGTAAAGAAAGGGGGAAAAAAGCAATACTCGGGTGCCTTGTCGGTGTCCTTGCTCGGTGGAGTCGCGCAGGTAGACTCAATGTAGAGACCTACGCAGTCCCGCTCCCGCAAGATTCTGTCCCGCTCCCGCAGAAATATATCTTATCTGGTCCCGCTCCCACCCGCGACATGCATGTTTTGTCCCACCCGCATAAAAGTAATCTATATAGCCTAGACTTTTTCAGTACATCGAAGAAATGTACATGAAATGGTTCTGTAACATCTCCTAAGCTCCACAACATGCCAGCATAAACACTCCCGATAAAATATTTGTTATTTAGGCTAAGCATCAACATCCTGTTGCGTTGGGTCCCGCGGTACTCCCCGGGAGTGCAGGTCTCTAACTCGATGTTCTTTACACTCGTCGGTCTTCACGTGACGGCTGCCGCGGTGTACTGTGCAAATATATACTCCCCTGATTCCATGTAATTGAATGCAGCCTTACTACTTATTACACCGAAACTGCAAAGTCACGGTGTAATACGCACAAGAACAAACGCAACTTCAGCACGCTTTTACCACGGTAAACACAGTAAACAAACAATGTGTCCTAGCAACGACAACCGCGCGAAAATCTAATGAGAAAAGATACAAAACATTTACAGACTGCTGTCCTCTTCTGCTGCACGACTGTTTCTACTAAATATAAGTAAAAATAAATGACTGATCAGAATGAGATTCTCCTCTGGATTAAGCCACGTCGCATTCTTTTTCTGAGATAAATTCAAGGCTTATTCCTCACAGCGCGTCGTCTTCTAAAAATGAAAAGTAGCCGAGATGAAATTGATGATTTTTTCTTTGTTTACAGAGGTGATGTGGGCATTTACATATTTGCACGTCTCAAGCGTGGTTTGGCGTGGACTATTATCTTATAGCGCGTGATCACATTATAGATGAGCTCAGATGGGAAAGACTACCTCGCGTTGGTTTCATACGGATTATTTTATCAGAGAATATTTGTTTTCAACATGACTTCATTTAAAAATAGACACTTCAAGCTTTCTTTAGATATATGTCTCATGTCATTTTCATTCATTTTAGTGACTCGTTTCAGGAATATATTCAAAGACTGAGATTGCAGAAAGCGCATCCTATTAGTTTTCTTTATTTTACAAAACCAAAAAAAAAAGATATTGATATTGGGAGTGTATACAAATAATACTTATGTAATTTTTCAGTAAATATTACATCAATGAAAGAACTATGAGTTTCTCTTTGTAGTGTATTTTTTTAGGTTATATTACTTTCAAGTTACTTTACTTATCAAGTAATTAGTACTCTTTGTGTTTTTGAGTAATCTCTGTGGCCCTAATACAAGTTCATTTTCATTGTATAACAGTAAAATAATGAGGTCTACAAGAGTTTGGCTGCGGCACTAGAAAATGCATCCAACAAAAATATTAAACCGTCTTCCCATACAAAAATTAACCATGGTTTTATTATAATTAAAAGTGGAGTAAAAAAAGTTTTTGGCGTATTGATTACGTCGTTTGTCATAGCCTTAGCCCTAGTCGTTTGTCTTAGCCTTAGTCTTAGCCCTAGTCGTTTGCCTTAGCCTTCCCGGTTTCTGATCTTCGCCTGGTTCCCTGGATTCACCCCTTTTGTCTTGCCCCTTTTGATTCTGTCTGCCGATCGTCGACCTGTGCTAGCTCTAGGACTATTCTTGTGTTTTGCCCACCATATACCTGTTTGCCCTCATCTGACCCATGCCTGCTGTATGACCACGTCTCTGTCTGTGTCTAATAAAGCTCTGCGAATGGATCCGCAAGTCTCACGTCTCGTCAGCCCCGTAACACCAATAATAATGCTGGAAGTTTGGCAAGCCTGATCCTCCCATCAACCTTGGTTTACAAACATGTAACTTAGAAATACGGTGTGCTCTGAAGCCCCACACAAATGGCAGGACAATCGAATCCAAGGTTTAAAAAAAAATAAAAATTGGGCACGAAAATTGGCAGGTTTTGAAAAAGGTAAAGAAATCTGGGCAATGTCACCATCTTGATTGCATTCGCGCGCCCTACCATAGACAGTGGGAAGGTCCTCCAGCTTTCAATATTACGTTTCAAGTTCTCTAGCATAGTTAAGTAATTTAATTTATATATATCCTTTGCATTTTTTGGTAAAGTGACCCCCAAATATTTCAAACTGTCTGCTGCGATTTTAAAATTTAGGTTTTGTATGAAGCCAGGGTCAATTTAATTGTAAATTGGCAAAAGAGTGAATTCATGCCTGTTACTAGAGTATCCAGAGAACTTTCCAAAAGTCTCCAGTAAGTCTAATAGACCATTCTGGGTCAATAAGGTAAAGAATAATGTCGTCAGCATAAAGAGATATATGGTGTTCTAAGTGGCCTATCTTAGGAAATGAAATAACTGGGTTATTTCTTATAGCAACCACAAGGGGCTCTATAGCAATGGCAAAAAGCAAGGGTGAAAGCGGACACCCCTGCCTAGTGCCTCTATGTAATGTGAATTGTGATGATTTATAGAAATTAGTAAGGACTGAGGCCCTGGGTTTGGCATAAAGCATTTTCACCCATAGAGAGAATGATTCACCTTGATCAAATTCTTGGAGCACCGAAGTCATATAATTCCATTCAATTTGGTCGAATGACTTTTTGGCATCGACAGATAAGATGGTGACATTTAAATGAGAATCATACTTTGAATATAAAATGTTCATTAAGCGTCTCACATTAAAGAAGGAAAAGCGCCCTGGGATGAAACCGTTCTGATCGGAGTGAATAATTTTAGTTATACGTTTATTTAGTCTATTCGCAAGGATTTTCATAAAAATTTAAGATCTGAATTCAGAAGAGCTATGGGGCGATATGATGCTGGATCCTTTTCATCTTTCCCTTTTTTAAGAATTAAAGAAATGTTGGCATCATACATTGTGGAAATTTCCTATTTTCAATAGAATGGTTAAATAATCTCAACATTAGGGGAGCGAGTATTTCTTATCAAATTCAATTCCGAAACCGTCACGTCCGGGGGCCTTTCTGCTGGGGAACGATGTGATGTTATTAATCTTTGTTGATGTTAGTTCACAGTGCATTAACTAATGTTTACAAATACAACTTTTGATTTTAATAATGTATTAGTAAATGTTAAAATTAACATGATCAAAGATTAATAAATGCTATAGAAGTATAGTTCATTATTAGTTCAAGTTTATATTCAAGTTTATTTGTAGAGCTTTTCACCATACAAATCAAATTACTGCAAATTAAGTTTCTACAATATTTAGTGGTAGCTTATCAGTGGTGACTGTCAGTTAATGTACATATGGCAGAAATCAATTAAAGACGCGTTCATGTTAACTAATGTAGATAGTACATTGGCCAATGGCCAAAACACTGTAACCTCGTCCAGTCGACGCTCCTCCTGCAATCCCCATGACTGAAGCACTTCCTTTAATATATTAGTGGATATACTATCTAGCTTACATGTTGGTAAATGTTTTGATGTCTGTTTCTTTGTGCTATTTACCTGGGCTAACTTACATTTGTCTTTTTTCACCATAGACCTCATGCCGCTGAAAGAGGAGTGCATAGTACCGAATGAAACGGAATATGAGACTCATCATGATTTTATAACCGGAGAAGAATCTTTCAGTTGGCCACAGATTAAAGCGACTTTCTCACAGAAAACAGCTCATGAAACAGGAACTACAAGTTATTTCACCCCTTTTCACTGTGAAAAGAGTTTTGATGAACATGGAAACCTTAAAGGCCACATGAGAGTTCACACTGGAGGTAAGTCTTTCACCTGCCAACAGTGTGGAAAAAGTTTCAATAGAAAAGGAGTCCTTAACAGGCACATGAGAGTTCACACTGGAGACAAGCCTCACACCTGCCCTCAACGTGGAAAGAGTTTCGATCAACATGGAAACCTTAAAGTGCACATGAGAGTTCACACTGGAGAGAAGCCTTACACCTGCCAACAGTGTGGAAAGAGTTTTGATCAACATGGAAACCTTAAAGTGCATTTAAGAATTCACACCGGAGAGAAACCATATTCCTGTCTTCAGTGTGGAAAGAGTTTTACTCAAAAAGTAAACCTTAAAGTCCACATGAGAACTCACCCAGGAGAGAGTTGTTTTATCTGCCAAAAGTGTGGAATAAGCTTCATTAAAAAAGGATTTCTTAATAGACACATGAGAATTCACACTGAAGAAAAGTGTTACGTGTGCCATCAGTGTGGAAAAGGTTTCAACCAAAAAGGAGACCTTAACTGGCACATGAGAGTTCACACTGGAGACAAGCCTTACACCTGCCCTGAGTGTGGAAAGAGTTTCGCTCAATATGGATACCTTAAAGTGCACATGAGAGTTCACACTGGAGAGAAGCCTTACACCTGCAAACAGTGTGGAGTCAGTTTCACTCATGAAGGAAGCCTTTACAGGCACATGAGAATTCACACTGGAGAGAAACCATACTCCTGTCTTCAGTGTGGAAAGAGTTTTACTCAAAAAGTAACCCTTAAAGTCCACATGAGAATTCACACTAGAGAGAGTCCTTTTATCTGCCAACAGTGTGGAAGAAGCTTCATTCATAAAGGATTCCTTAACAGGCACATGAGAATTCACACTGGAGAAAAGTGTTACGTGTGCCATCAGTGTGGAAAAAGTTTCAACCGAAAAGAAAATCTTAACAGGCACATGAGAATTCACACTAGAGAAAAACTTTATACATGCCCTCAGTGTGGAGAGAGTTTCGATCTACATGAAAGCTTTAAAGTCCACATGAGAGTTCACACTGGAGAGAGTCCCTTCATCTGCCAACAGTGTGGAAAAAGTTTTACTCAAAAAGGAAACCTTAAAAGGCACATGAGAAAATTACACTGCATTTATTAAACACAAGCTTGATCAACACACGAGGATTCATTTGAGAGAACTGTTTTATGTCATCAGTGTGGAAGGAGTTTCTCAGACAGGAATCCTGTAATAATGTTATGATGTGTAGGAAGCTCAGAAGTGAAGACCAGGAGACTCTGCTGTATATTCAGCAGGATTCTATATTGAGAAGGTGCTGTGTGGCACCGTTAGACTTGGGGTACTCGATCTTGGACTCGATTATTAACAACGGATTAAACATGAACTCAGACATTTTGGACTCAGGAAATGGTCGAGTCCACATCATGTGTAACATTAAAGGGATCGTTGACCCAAAAATTAAAATCCTGTCATTAATTACTCACCCTCATGTCGTTCAAAAATCCCAAAGACCTTTGTTCATCTTCGGAACACAAATTAAGATATTTCTGAGGAAATCCAAGAGATTTCTGATCCTCCATAGACAGCAACGGAAGAGAAATGTTCCCAGGCCCAGAAACGAAGTGAGGACGTTGGTAAAACTGTCCATGTGACATCAGTGGTTCAACCATGATTTTACGAAGCTACGAGACTACTTTTAGTGTGCCAAGAAAACAAAAATATCGACTTTATTCAACACTTCTTCTCCTCCAAATCACATCATCCGCCATTATGGAGAGAACCACGACGCATGCATGTGCTTTCCTCTGCACTTGATGTCCTTACTTTGTTTCTGGGCCTAGGTACATTTCAGTTGCATTGCTGTCTATGGAGGGTCAGAAAGCTCTGAACAACACATAACTCACCTCCGTACTGCACATCTGTAAATAACTAATCAAACCTTCATCTGTAAATAGAACTGTGAATGTGCATATGTGCTGTCTATGGACATTTTCCTTTTTATATATATATATATAATTTTACTATTGTTATTAGTATTAGAGAGAATAGACAATAAATTATAAGTGTTTTATTACATTAAAGGGTTAGTTCACCCAAAAATGAAAATTAGCCCACAAATTACTCATCCTCAAGTCATCTGAGGTGTATATGACTTTATTCTTTCAGACGAATCCAGTCGGAGTTGTATAAAAAATTGTCTTTGATCTTTCAAGCTGTTTAATGGCACTCAGCGGGTGTTGTATGCTTCAGTCCAAAAGAAGTTAAATAAAAAGTGCCCATCCATAAAAAAAGTGTCTCACACGGCTCCGGGGGGTGAACAAATTCCTCCTGTAGCGAATCGATGAGTTTTTGTAAGACAAATATCCATATTCAAAACGTAATAATCACTTTAATGTAGCTTGCGCCAGCAGTTGTACACAGAAGCAGTTCCGGGAGCATGACGTATGAGGTCAGCGTTACGCATGCGCCGGTGAGTCTCGTGAAAACCAACGTTTGTTTACAGGAGCAAAGGAAGCAAAGTTTCCTTACTTTAGCAAAGGAAAACCAGTCTCCTCTTGGCTTATATCGAAATCCTCCGACATTCTTCTTTACAAATCCTCGTTTTGTACTTCTAATTAGTGACCTTTGTTTTGATCTCTCCGCTGCGCTTCCGCGTTCGTCACTTCTGAGCGGCGCATGCGCAATGCTGACCTCACAAGTAATCCCAGCCTGGAGATGCTTCCGTGTTCCGTGTCAACATTATTAAAAATGATCACTGATATCTGTAGTAACTGCTCCAAATTAGGCATGGGACGATAACCGGTTTCAAGGTATACCGTGGTTTGGAAAAGTCACGGTTTCAAAACCACTAAAATTTTTCGTTATACCGTTCCTGCGGTATGCACAGTTTTTTTTGCGTGTCATCAAAGACGGAAAGTGCAGGACTCCCTCAGTTGTGTGCAGCGAAGGGCCTAACGAGTCGCACGTCCCCTCCTCTGGTTGGTGCGAGCGGTCAGTGAGAGGCACCTGTGTGTAGGATGGCTGAAGGAGGTGAATCCCTGGAACTTTTTCCCCCGTCGAAAAAGACAAATCTGCCGTATGGGAATTTTTCGGGTAACGTAGACTAACCATGTTCCGTACACAACTATGTTCTGTACAGATTACGTTTTAGCGCCGATAGCTAAAAAAATACTTCCAGGTCGAACATAAACTATATATCTGTCATCTTCATTTCTCCCTCTTTCACCCCCGATCAAGACAGAGACCCACCCGCCGTTTGTTTCAGTGTTGAAATAAATACTATTTGGCTTGCTACTGAGGCCGATAACATGGTTAATTAACTAGTTAACGTCAACTAGTTTCCTCCCTCACGTTACTTCACAGAGCGAGGAATAGCAGACTAAAGTACTATGTTTCTGTGATTTAGTACAATAATTAAATGTAGCTGGTATCGTGTCTATACTTTCAAGCCTCCTGCCATTGTTTACATCTGTTCAAAATCACGACATTTAAAAAACAAACTGCTGGCTCTCAAGTGTCTTTGTCACCGTTTGAGTGTTGTACGGAGAGAGACTCCGTGTGTGTGTGTAACACACTCGTGCTCTCTCTTTCCTTGTGTATGTGCACACATCCTCATACCTCACCGCTCCAAACTTAATCCAGGTACGTTAAGGTGAACATGCTTGCATCATAACTTGAACTGAGAGATGAATGTGTAGAAAGTGAGCATGTCTCCAAAAACCTTGTTGAGCTGCAGGCTTAATGACTGCATTTAATTTTTTTTATTTACAGAAATTGTTTTGAATGTTGAGCTGCAGGTTTAGGCTCACCTAAGTGACTGCCTTTTTTTTTTCCATTTAGAAGGTTTTTTTTTTGTGAGACATTTTTAAAAAGAATTTGTTCTGATTATTGTTGAGCTGCAGGTCTAGGCTCACTTAAGTGACTGCGCTCCAAAATGTTCTATATGTTTCTTAAAAATAAAATATATTGTGTTCAGTGGGGGAAAAAAGGAGTTTTTTACCCAGACATTTAAAAAAATAGCATATGTTATCGCAATACCGTGATATTTTTTTTAAAACGTGAAGTGACGTGAATTACCTGCAACCTTTGGGTTATGAGTCCGACTCTCTAACCATTAGGCCACGACTTCCCTATTTTTATCTACAGTTATCATACCATCAGAATCTCATACCGGCCCATGCCTACTCCAAATTACTGACTAATATCAGACTAACTGAAAAAGTTTTACACATGAAGACATAAATTGTGTTTTTGTGAAGAATCATCTGACTGATGTACATTACATGAAAAACTGTACTGTGCAGTGGCGGCTCAAAAAATTTTGAGGGGAAAATGGGAGGACGACGATTTAATGTTAATAAAATTCACAATTCATTTCAGTTCATGTCTCAGAATGTGTATTTTTTGTTTGTAATTTCACAGCTGTAATACCATAACATGTTACTGAATTTCGCGAATGTGCCGAATCTGCTGATTAAATTACAACCGCTAAGTGACAGAGATGGGGAGGGTAAGGCCGGGGGAGTGCCTCCGTTGGTAAAAAATTTTTTGCCAATCGGCATCGAGTGATCACTTTCAGCGCTGAGTAGTGTTGAGAAAAGAAACCTCGCAAGGGAGGCTAGCCTCCCTTCTGATATCAACCAATCATCATAGAGGCGTAAATTACGTGATATTAGTTTAACACAGACTTTTAAGAAGGGATGGATGTTTGCTTCAAGTGATAGGCCAGGTAAGTGAAGTTATATTATCTTGCTGTATGCGTGTTGTCGTCTTTACGTTTTCTGACTAAAAGCAACCAAAAAGCCATTTGAAAGTGGTTAAGCAAATAATAATAATGTTGATGATGATAATAATCTGCAGGGATCCCCTAGACATACCAAAAATTTGAGGCTACAGCACAGCAGCTCTTCTTCTTGGTTTTCTCTGACGCACTAACTCTGCAGCAGCTCTTCTTCTTGGTTTTCTCTGATGCACTAACTCTGCAGCAGCACTTCTTCTTCGTCGTCTCGTCTGATGCGCTCACTCAGCCTAGCGCTCCTCCCCACCCCCCAACCATTAGAATTTCTGTAGGCGGGAATTCTTTGTAATGATATTCTAATGAGCCGCTTTGTGATATCATAAAGCCCGGAAACCAAACGCTGTAGTCCAAACGAGCTGTTTGTTGTAGTTCATGAAATTTTTTTTTTTTTAAAAACTAAATATCTCCCTTTGGAGTGGACTTTGAGATTTGTAACTTTCTAGATCTTTTTTATGCCCAAACATACACACTGACTAAAATTTAAAAAGTGAAAAAGCATTATAGGACCCCTTTAACTGTATTCTGATTACTTTTCCTGGTAACGCAGTAAAGTAATGCGCTACATTTTTAATTTATATAATTTGATTACAGTTACTAATGTCAATAAAATGGTTACTTAAATTACAAATGCATTATTAAAAAATATGAAGTATGCCCTTGAATAAATCGAATAAAACATTTTTTAATAAATGCAGACGAGTCCTACAACATTTAGAAATATCATATTTCAAAATGTTGCACGACATATTTTAGTTTGGCATTGTAAACTGTTTCGGTGACAAACTTTTACACATTCACTTGCTGAACTTTTCCCAGAGAAAATGGCGCAAGTCAAAAGATCCGTCAAGACCGGAGTATGTATCAGTCTTTGCTTTCATCTTTCTCTGCTGAAGTCCATACTGCCAAATCTTCATACTTCCACAACAAGATCAACAGTGCTCCAGACGCACGTAATCTCTTCAAGACATTAAATTCTCTCCTCTGTCCCCCTCCACCACCTCCCACCACTTCTATAACAGCTGATGATTTTGCCACATTCTCCACAGACAAAACTAAAACAATTAGTAGTCAATTACTCAGCCCCACACACACAGGACCCCAAACCAACCACACCCATTGCTAAAACTCCTCTCCTTCTGAGACTCCTCTGAAACAAGTGACTGAATACCTGCAGAGAAACAAAGAACAGATGTCAAAGGAACTTCAGCAAGCTAGAGAAGAGCTGAAGGAATTCAAATCAACTTTCAGAAGACAGCTAACAGACAGTTCTTCCTGCATTTCTGTTTTAATTTCTGTGTTGGAATCAGAACTTCGAAAGAAAGATGAACTTATGAAGAAGTTATTCCTTCATCCAAAGGATCTCACGCTAAACGCCTGACCTGTCTAGAGACCCCCACTGACAATCAGCAATCACCTGCAGAGGATGAGCCTCACTCTTCATCAGATCCACAGACCAAAGCCCACAGCACTGCTCCAGAAACAGAAGCTCTTATTTACATATTTTCCATTGGAGTCGATGAGAATGAGGAACTGTTATTTCCAAAAATGAAAGCACAGAAAATGTGGTGCCCGAATACCAGCAAGGCTCTTCAGATCTTATCTGATAAAAATCTGAAAGAAACTTGCAAGCACATCGTAATCCGCACAAGGACCAACGACTTACGAGCAGCGAAGGGCAACGTGGCTCCTATTCTCAGAGAGG